ATAGGAAGTAAATACACTGTTTCTATTCTCTTGGAATTTACCATCTAGATAAGAGGTTTTCCTAACAGCTTTGGGAAAAACACAAATCAGAAGGCCAGGCTATTCGAGGAGAAGCCAGGAAGGAGAACCCCCTCAATTCAGCTTCTTCTCCCCCCTAGTGAAGGCCCCTGAAGCTAAATCACAGAATGCCAGTATCTAGAGAATTCCATCTAAAGAGCTGTAAGACACCCAAATATTGAGCCAATTGTTATTGCAAACTGTAGACAAGATAGTTTGATATCATACCATAAGAATGATAGTCATTGCTATACAAAAAAAATCAGTTTTCTCACTCTCTTGAACTCCACTGAACATTTATAGGAATACCAGAGGAAGGCTGCACTGGCAGACAGGGAACAGATGGGGTGGAAGCAAAAGAAGAGATTCAGACACACAGCAAAAAGGTAGAGGAACTATAATCAAGACAAAAATTATATACTAGTTATAAACAATGTGTGTGACTCTGTGGCATCAAAGGAAACAGCAGGAACTACAGATAGGGTCCTCCAGAGACTCAGACAGCAAGCTGAGCCCAATGCATACATCTGTTCATCCTTCCAGAGATCCTGAGAAATGCCAGGAGGAAGAAAATAGGGATTGAAAAATTCAAGAATGTATCCAAAATGACCAAGTAGATTAGAGATGGAACTAGATTCTATGGGATTTCTCAAAGCCTGGACAGGTAACAATTTCAAATTTTTTAAGATAAGACTCACAACTCAGGGCCCTCCCTGGTGGTGCAGTGGGTTAAAGCACAGCACTAAGAAGCTAAATCCACTTCTGCATGAGTTCGATTCCCGCCTGCCCCAGGAGGTGACCCACATGGCGTGGCAGACCTCTCCTGACCAGCCTGCTGCTCCCCTCAGCAGTGTTCTTCATCAGTCTGCCTGTTCTGCTCTCCACTCTGTCTCTGGTGAATCCTCTCACCACCCCTGCACCTCTGGCTTGTACCCCAGTTCTGTATGCACAAATAAGTAAATCTTTAAAAAAAAAAAAAACCTCACAACTCAAAGTTTCATCTTAATGTGCCTACCATTTGAAATAATCACATTTTCTGATTCACCCAGATCAGTTACAGTTTACATCTGTTTCCCAGTGTAATTACAAACAGCTTTTCCTTTCCCTTCAGAGGTATCCCACTCTAGTCCAAGAAAGTAGATGATCATCTTGCCTCAGTGCCACTTGCCACATTGAAACAGACAACTTACCAGGCCTGATGAAAAACAAAAACCGGAAGCCTTTTGTTCAAAAAGCAGGGGGTTGGGGGTAGTGCTATTAAAGGAACTTAATTATAAAGCTTTTTTTCTGAAATCTATTTAGTTTACTCATACCAAATTATCCCTGGGACCCCACACAAGTCCAAAGATAAAATCAGTAGAAATTTCAAGACAGTGAGAGGAAAGCACTAAAGCAAGCTGGGAGTCCTTGTGAGTATGAAGCCCTGAGTGACTGCACAGGACGCTCACCCAGGAAGCCCACTCTGATCTTCCCTTTTTCCAGCTACTCAAATGGATCTTGGAAATCATGGCCATCTTGCCAAGCCCTGTGACTGGGTTGCAAACAGGAAGTTAGTTACGATCTACTATTGTGCAGACTATAGACAATAACTACTGGATGTTAGGTGCACAGACTAATTCTGTATAAAAACTCTTTTAGAGCACTTGTAATGAAGCACAGATTTTCACTTCCCATGCAAAAACAAAAAAACAAACGCAATGAAATTCTGTCACTCTACCATCTTTTTCTGACCTAAAAATAATTAATCGAGATAATTTAGATAACTTATTCATGGTAGCATATGAAATTTAGAATACAATGAACTGACATGTGCTACAAAATCTTTACTGCCTCCAGGCTTAATTTAAAACATGTTTCTATTTTAAATGTAGGTACATACTATACATTTAAATGTTTTCCTACATAAATTCATGGATGCTTCAGCAAAACTTAAGTTAACTTCTACCTGAGTGAAACTTAAGTAAAAGTCTACTATCTGTACAGAAAAAAATCCAAGAAAAACAAAGCCATTATTTTAAGGATGATTTAAGAAGTGTCCTTAAAAATGGAATGGGATGTTAATGAGCTTACTATACTCATTCATTCACTGATGAATAGACCAATGAGGAAACTGTGCCCCTGACCTCAAGGAGCTTACAGTCTAATAGAATGAGACAAAGATAAACAAATGCTTAAGCTACCTTTGGCACTAAGAGAGTAACAACAGACTACAGGTGATGACTGGTACAAAGCAGTGAGTACTCTAGCTTAAAATGAGTGAAGGAGGAGGTAGGTTTATGAAAGGTTTCTTAAAGGACAGGAACTGAGCTTTGAAAGCCCAGAAAGATAAGGGGTAGGGAGGAGTGAGAAAGAGGCCTGAAAAGGCATGGCACCCCACACAGCAGACCCATTTCTAAGTGATGGCAACAAGTTTACAGCACATTTTGTTCTAACTAAAATGAAGGTGTACACCGATTGATAAGCCAAGGTAGAGAGAAAAGGGGCAATGAGGGAAAAGTACATTATGCTTCTAAAGCCAAAAGCTTGAAAAGAATACTTAAGGAATCCAAAGTATAAAAGGTATTAGTTAAGTTTCCCCCTTAGGGGGTCATGTGACAATTTAATCAGGGGAAATTTTTTTTTTTTTTTTTTTAGTATTTATGGGTCTGTAAGTAAGAACAGGTTTCTGGTGAAACTAAAAATATGTTTTTTATCTCTTCCTCCTCATTCTAATAAAGATAAGAATTATCATGCATCCTTGTTAATAGCTTGAAGCATGACAGAAAACTAAAATGATGACTAATGTAACAAATATTTAAATTCAACTTAGAATGCACTATCAAATGTTTGCAAGAAATTTACCACTCGTTGAACACTGTGTTTTTTTAAGAAAAATTTCAATTGTTTGTCTTTATTTCTGATTGTTCCTTTAGGATGAATTCCCAGAAGAGGAATTTCTAGGCCAAAGGGTTTGATCTTATTTAAAGTTTTTTCTACATAACAACTTAGGCTAATATTAAAAGTGGGTCGGTGGTGGGAACTCAACCAGGATTACAAGTGAGATGAAAAAATGTACAAAATGAATAAGTATACTGATGGCATTAATTGAAAATGACCAAGTAAAATACATAGGGATTAAATGTTGCTTTAATAAAATATCAAAAATATATGAGCCAATTACATATTTACAAGTAGATTTTTGGCTTTGACTGGGTGTAATATTGAAAAGAAATCAGAGTAAAAATTTGTCTAGGATGACATCCAGACAAATTAGTGCCTTCAGGTGTGTGTGAACATGTGTGCACAAATAGTAAAAAAGGAAAAGAAGAGTTCATAATTTCTGAATGAAATAATAAGAATGAAATCATAAAATGATTTATTCATAAACAGGGAAAATTATTTTATGCCTGCCATAATTTCTTACCTAACTCTATACAGTAAATAAAAAAACTAATGTTTTAAACAAAGATCTACAAATTGTGTTTTACAGTAAATTAGATTAACCTCTGAATTAGCACTCTAACTATATTAGATACACACACACACACACACACACACCCCACCACCACCACCACCAGAAAGGAGTAACTAATACAATTTACGAAATGACTCAGATTCTTCAAAAATTAAAGAACTTTGTCAACAACAAAGTTTCCTGACAGCCAAATTTGATGCTATTGAAATTCAAATATCCTTAGAAACATGTTTTTTTACACTGCCGCGGGGTAAGTGTACAATAATTCTATTTGTCACCAATTACTATATCCTCAAATATCCCTATATTTTCAAAACATATGGCCCCTAGAGTTCAAGAACATTGATTTTAATTTGAGAAGTCAACTAAGAGCCAACCTGTATATCATTTGAGACATTTCTTTCCTTTTTGCTATTGCCAAGAAGTGAATTTCCTCTCTCATTATTACAAGCAGAAAATATATTCTTTCAGAAAACTGAGCAGGAAACTTGACCTCTGAAACATTTCCCTTCAGATAAGGATGGTGGAAAAAGAAGATTAGAGTTTTGATTGAGATTGCAAAGACTGAAGCTCCTCAGTCTTTAAGTGATGCTCTCCAGGTCACCTGGGTGAAGAAGAGCCAATCTCAAATTCTTTGTGTCCGTGGAGACAATAGATGAAATTCCACTTTTGAATGATATTTCAGTTTCCCTCCCTCAACTTTGCCCCTGCCGACCCTAAAATGAATGAAACGTTATCAAAGCAGATTTCCAGTAGGTCAGGCTGAAACCCTACAACAAAGTTCCTGCCAGTTTTAGGAAATCGTGCGGTTGTTTGACTCGTGTCTTACACAACTCTCAAGTTGAGCAGGAGACCCAGGTTCTGAGATGGTTCTCACCCTTTTAAACCAGGGTGAGGATGGAGTAGGCTCCACACGTGGCTTTAATATCCAACAGCTGCTAGAGATCATAACCCCGCCGCTCTTTCTGTACCCGCCACCAGAATCCTGTTTCAAAGATTATAATAACTAAAAGGGCTTCACTGCCATGTAATCCGAATAATGAACCCAAGCTCCAGAAGAACCAAGGAAACAAGAAAATTAACTAAATGTACCTGATATAGTATAGTATTAACTGACTTTAAGTCAAAGGCTCAAAATCCCCAGGAAGGAAGAGAAGGGGGGGAAATACACAATGCAATGGTGCGGGCTAGGGAGGAGTAAAGAGAAAAGTGAAGAAAGATGGGGCAGTAGGAATTCCCTGGACAACAGGCTCCCATTGGAGCCAACTTTTCCAACACAGCTCCCCAAGGCCGTGGCAACTCAGTTCGTTCCACCGCACGGAAAAAATCACCGCGGTGGCCAACTCGCGCGCATCCGGGTGCCGGCTAAGCCCGAGCCGCTTCTCCGGCCCCCGCACGGACAATGCCGCGCGCGCTTCCCGCCTCGCGCCAGAGCCCCGCGCCCCGCGCCCCCCAGCCGCTCCCAGCGTCGCCGCGCGGGGCCACTCACCGACACCAGGAACTCCAACGTGCCCACATAGTCCCGCTCGGTCTTCTGGAGCTCGCTGAGCACGCACACGCGCAGGCGAAGCTGTTTCTCCAGGTCCTTGGCGCTCTCGGCGCGACCGTCTCCGCGGCACTCGTCGCTCATGGTGGCGGCAGGATGCGGGGCTGGCAGGCCGCGTTACGCGCTCCCGCTGCTGCCCCGGCTTGGGCGGCGAGGAAGGAAAGTTGCTGTCTCCGCAAAGTCCAAATAGGGACCCCGCTCTTTACATGCTGGGGAGAGGCTGGAGCGAGGCTGGGGCAGGGGAGCACCCTCTGGACCTCGGGCTCCGGAGGCGCGGGGATCTGCGGAGCAAACTCCCAAGAGATTGGTCTGTGCACCGGGACCTGCGCGTCCCGCCCCGCTGCTCTGGCCTCACTCTGCCGGGACTGGAGGGGAGGCGGCTCCGGCAGCCACAGCGGTGACTTGGACATTAATCAAATGCTTTGTATCCATGTGACTCCGACCCTTTACCCTTCGCCAAATCTCAGGAAAAAGGAAACACAGCCCTGGGGAAGTGTGCTGCGTGCCAGCTAACTAAACACACACACACACACATACGCGCGCGCGCAAACATACACGCGCGCGCGCGCGGCGGCGCTTGAGATAGAACTAATTGGAGATTCCCAAACCTAATAGGACTTACTGCAAGACACAGGCGATGTTTGCTCCTATGATTCCCGCCTGTTGTGTTTTGTGCAAATCCTGAAAGCAAAGAAACAAGTCCCCACGGTTACATAACTGGATGGGAACAAAAACAACCATGGTATTGACCCTCCTGTCTTTGAAAAGTAACACATTGATTTGAGGGGTTTTCACACACAAAATACGTTTGCTTTTAAAATCCCCCAACCGAGAATATTTCTCAGGGCCTATATACCCTCCAGCCTGCACCCGAAGAGCCAATTAGCATAATAAATGAGACACTCTGGGAAAGTAACAGCACTGGTTCATACAATAAACTCCAGATACAATAAACATAAGCATTGCCTATGCTGTTTTGGAGGAAGACTTTTTGTATGTCTACAACTTTTTTTGTCCCCAACATCCAGATAATAGGTAAAGTCAAACTGTGGCAAGAGTATTTGTGCCAGTTTTGTTCCTAAGATCTGCTATAATTTAAGACGCTATTATTGATTGAAAAGACAAAACTTTTATTGTATGTTCATCAAAAGATATACTAAAGATATGTAGGTAAAGATATTTAGGTTAGGCATAATCTTAGGACTTGAAAATGGAGAAAGAAATCTTGTCATAATTTTGTTTATGTTTATTGCTATTGCTCACTTGAATACAAGAGACAGGACCTAATGAGCACTGAGTATTTCCAATTAAATTAACAAACAAGCTAAAGAACCCATATATGTATGTGTGTGTGTGTATATATATATATATATATATATACACATATGTACATGTTATATCCACGTATATTTCAGCCTTTTTGTTTCCCTGCTGAGAACAATTTTAACCAACCTAAACCAAAGATACTAAAATCAAGTGAAGTATGAATGGGTTTGATGGCATGTTCATTTGTTCCAACAGTTGAAAGCATTAGCAAAACCTTAAAAATTAAAAATGCATGTTAATTTGTTACAACAGTTTAAAGCATTAGCAAAACTTTAAAAATTAAAAATGCATCTATGTTAAAATAATGATCCGTTTTCCAAATGATGTATTTTCAGGGCATGATGAATCACTAAACCCTCTCTATGATAAAAGTAATAAGGACCATACTTTTGTTCTTTATGGAAAGTTTTGAAACGATCTGTGAGGAGTTGCTAGGCAAAATGCAGTTTTTTATCCGTGGCTATCTAAAAGTAACCAGAAGCAAAAGACAAATAAGTAAATGGCTTCACACCTTGTGGCAAAAGAACAAAGGCTAAGGCACATTAAAGTGCAGACCACACAGCACCTAGTAAACAATAAACAAAGAAACAAATGGAAAGACATAGGAAACATCCAGGAATAAGTAGAATCAAATTGAACCTTTATACAATACCACAGGAAACAAGGACTGAATGTATTTCCTCCTCCTTGGGTCTGTTCCCTTCTGCAATGTGAAAAGTAAGTAAATAAATCATACTTTCCATCAGGTGTTGTCCTAGATAAAATATTTCTCTTACCATTTGTCCCCAATTGGAGAACTGCATATGCAATTTCCTTCTATCAAAATAAATACCTACTTAACCCATGAGAGCTTCAGTCTCACCTCTGAGAGCAATATATTGAATTTGCAACAGCTATGGCTTTTGGCCCAACCAAAGCAAAAACCCCAGTTCCACAAACAAGTCCTGACAGCATAGAGCTAGGGCCTGAAAACCACTGAGACCCTGATCCCCAGGCAAATAGTTCTCCAGGTGGGTCACATTATAACCCCCCTGAGCTCCTTAAAATGTGCTTCCTGGATCCCACCCTCCACTTACTGAATGAGAACCTCAGAGGTGTAAATCCTAAACTTTTTGACAAGGGCCTCAGATTATTGTTAAGGCACCTAAACGTCTGAGAACCACCATTTTGAATTTACATTTGAGTGGAATCAAACATCACATGTCTAAGTACCTCTATTGAAAGGCAAATTGCAATGAATGCTTTGTAAAAGAAAAAAAAATGCAAAGGAAACTAACAGGAAAAAATTTCATTTTAATTGTGCAGATTCAGAAACTTCTCAGAAGTGTCATGTAGAAATGATTATGATATTAATAGATTCTGCCCACTCCTCTGCTCCTCCATCTACACCTCAATATCATTTATAATTAATGAACAGCTTCAGGATGCCAAGTGGTTCCTCCTGCCAGGCACCACTCAGTGTCTTCTGCAACTCTGGCTGGAGTTCTTAATTCCTCATCAAAGACTTAAGAGCATAAGAAAACAGGGCTGAAGTATCTGGAAACCTTCACTTTGATGGTAAATAAGGTCTTTCATAAACTCTGAATGTGTTGGGTCCCTCCCCACTTCCTCTATTGAAACTTTAGTCTCTGTTTGCCAGGAAAAGGAAAGTAACAACCAAGTGATGGACAGGATCCAGTTTTTTCCTGAAATACTAATGAGGTTGAAGCATCCAATAAAAAGGAGATGAGAAAAAGAAGGTAGAGTGAAGAGACTGTTTTATAAACTAGCTCAGTCGTTAAATGTATTTCAGGCTCATGAACTTGGTGAAGTTAGCATCTAGGACCATACAATTCAAAACACAAGTGCACAGGTTTTCTTTGGTCATGTCCTGAGAAGGAGGTTTACCAGGCAGGGTGAAGGGGACTCCTGAACTAAAACACAAATATCTGAGCCTCCCTCTGTGCTAGAGAGCTCCCCTCAACATATTTCAGGTAAATGTCACTTTAATCTCCCTGCCAATTCAATAATAGTATTTGCCCAAGTAAAGAAACTGATTAAATATAAGCACTAAAAAACAAAAAACAAACACTGCTAGATTTCAAAGCTTTCTTGTTAAATAGAGAATTTATGAGTTAAACTGCTCTTTATTTACAAGTAGAATTGATTCTAACCTTTTCTTTCTTTTCTTTATTATTTTGGCCTATGGTAACTGTAGATTATACTAGCATAAACTATTATAGACACAATAAAACTGTATTAATACAGCATAAGAGTGTTTAACAAATAATTCTAACAATAGCTACTAATTTAGGTTATACTTTATGCTTAAATCCTAAATTACTTCCACTTAATTTTGGTGGCTACCTGGTCATAACAAACGCAAGCTAAGCTGTAGCAAGTAATTAATTACATCATCTGATACAAGGATTTTATGTTTATTGCCTGAAAGAACAAAATACTATGTACTTTAGTTTTATAAAGTCATAAGCCATACCTCATTTCTAAAAGTCTTTCTGTATTTCTCAGAAATACAGAAATATACTTTAATTTTAGAGACAATGCTTATGGCATAGCAAACTAAATCAATGTGTTTGTGAGTATTTTAGCAAGAATGAAACTCTTAAAGAAGTAGTTGTTGCTACACAAGCCTCATTAAATACAACTCATCTCATCATCATATAACATGTCATCCAGTTTCTTATGAGCAACACTTACCCTGTAACCTTCCCATTAAATTAAGCCACTTTTATCTACCATTAGTCTCAAAAGATTACCATCCTTGTAATGCACCATCTGCCTGCATCTTTCCTACCTCTTTGTTAAAAATCCTCCCCAAAGGGCCTCCCTAGTGGCAGAATGGGTTAAGTCTCAGCACATTCAAGCTATCCCCATCCACTGTGGCATAAATTGAATCTTCTGCCACTGAACTGACCCACATGGTGCCACAGACCTCTCCTGTAGCGTCCACTGCTCCCATCGGCAGTGTATTTCAATCTGCCTGTTCTTTTCCCCACTGTCTCTATTGTATCCTCTCACTTACGGCCTATACTCCAGTTCTTATATGGATAAGTAAATAAATCTTTAAAAACAAAACAGTCCTCCCCAACCTCACATACTTCAAGCTATGTCCCATTTCCCTCTGCCCATAAAATTGCTGAAGAATTCTACTTGGTGTTTTTGGTGTGCAGAATGACCTTCTAAAGATGCCCATGTTCTAATCCCCAGTACTGAGAATACCTTGCTTTATGTAACAAGTGATATTCATATGCAGGTGCAATTAAACTAAGGGCCTGAGATAGAGAGAATTTTCTGGATTATCAAAGCAGACCCAAAAATTACCTACATCCTTAAGATCAAAGAATATTTTACTAATGATCACAAAGGGAGGTGTGACTAAGGAAAAATGATCAATTACAATACTGTTGAAATGGAGGTGGGAACCACAAGCTTATGCAAACACAAGAAGCTGAAAAAGCAAAGAAACACTCTTCCCTGCTGGTTTCAAAAGGAACACAGCCCTGTTGAATGTTGATTTTTAGCACAATAAACCCATATTATGTCCTCTATATAAATGTGCATATGTGTAGAAATGCATGTGTGTATATATATATGTATGTACAAAAGTAATATTGGCTCACAACACTGTATATGATTCAGAAACATGGGCTTCCAACTCTTCAGGTGTTTATTACTACACCACACCACTAAGGTACCCACAGTCCTCCACCTTAATCAACTGTGTCCTTCTACCCTTTCCTCTCAACTCTTCCCCTCTCCTTCTGGTAACTACAGTTCTATACTTTATAGTCAGATTTTTGAGTTTTTAGGGTTTGGTGTTAGTTCTAACTCTTTTGCTTATCTATATTTAATATGCCATATTTCTAATCCACCAAACTATAAGAAATTTGTGTTGTTAACTCATTAGGCTTACGGAAATCTGTTACTACAGCAATTAAAAAAAAAAAATGAGGCCCTCCCTGGTGACACAGAGGGTGCCTGGTGGCACAGCACTAAGAAGCTAAAGCCACTTCAGCATGAGTTTGATCCCGGACCCCAGAGGTGACCCACATGGCGTGGCAGACCTCTCCTGATCCACCTGCTGTTCCCCTCAGCAATCTACTTTGTCAATCAAACTGTTCTGCTCCCCA